CTAGCCCAGTTCTGAAAAGGTGCTGCTGCAGAGTGGCCCATTATTTTTCATTATTCATCCTCCTTTCATTAACTTGTAACCCATAATTAGAGCTGTCAGTGGGCCACTTGGCCAGCACCAAGCTGTCTCCAGGCTGTCAGGGCCCCTTCAAAGCCGGCATCAGACCACTACCGCCGAAATCAGGGGAACGCTGAGAACACCAGGGCTGCACAAGCCTCTTTTCTTTAAACTTAATTCAACTAACTTGTCAGCAGCTGGAAGGACAGGACGCTTGACCCAGTGATGGCCCTGGGACAGACGAGCCTCCTGCTCCTGGCCAACGACACAGCGTATCGCCTCCAAAGCAGGGCTGGGGAAGCAGCTGAAACCGCTGGTGAAATTCCCATCAGAGCAGCTGGGCATCGGCTACCCTACAACTACTCTCGCTACAGGCAGCAAACGTCCTCCAACAGAAAATGAAGCTTACTAAGTCACCCAGCAGGTCATCCCATCCACTCAGGGTGCAGTATGAAGGGAATTCATCCTGGTAGACTCCTCCAGACTCTGTCCATGTCAAAACCAGCCATTCTATAGGGTCGTCAAATGGTTGGGGTCGTACGTTGGGAACACGTGCCTTTTCCCCGACGTGCACAGCCATATCCTCTGTGAGACGTGGTCCTGATCAGGAGGCAGCTGCATAGCTGGTTGGCCTCGTTCCCAAGAACTCACAGGTCTATGAAGGGCTCATCATGGCCACCTTGGACTTGCAAGCATCTGTCCTGTGAGCCTGGCAACCTCTGACAGGGCTCTGCTAATAGGGAAATCGGAAGATGCCACTGATGCCGTATCACAGAAGGCAACTGCCCTCCCCAGAATGTACCCCCGGGCCCTCCCCCTGGCGCATCTTTCCCATCCTTGTTCACCTGGCAGCCTCCTGCTCGTTCCTGGACAAACAGAAGCTCAGTCGTTTCCTGTAGCTGCCCAAGGCAGAGTTCACTGCCGTCTTCTCGCTGCTCCTGCGACCACTCGCCACACTCCGATGGCCATTTGTTGGCCTTTGTCTTCCCACCATTCGGAAGACAAGGACCCCTGTAAGCCCCCTGCAGGAGACTGAGCTCTCTGGGCTTCAATTCCTGGATGCAGCAGCAGCGCACAGCAGGTGCTCAAGCAAGTATCTGAGTGAACAAATGGATAAATGTCACTGCCTTGGGCATCAGGTGGAAAATAACCATAGACGCTAAGGCCCCTGTTTGGTCCCAGGCAGCTGAAGACTGCCTCAAGTGCTGCAGGCTGAGCCCGGGGGAGAAAACCTGCAGCTCAGTTGGTTCTTTGCTGTAAGAGCTAGATTAACCCCGGGCGAGCCAAGAAATCCTCGTGATGGCAAGACCGGCTCCGAGGAAGCTGTGGTGCACAGCTCAGCCCCCTTCTTGGCTCAGACCTCAGATGTTGACAGCGAGTGCAGGCGCTGGACTGGGGTTACAACAGGGAGAACTGGGTGAAGGTGCACAGGACCCCTCTGTACTGGCTTTACAACTTCCTGTGAGTCTTAGTTCAAAATAAAAAGTGAAAATGCTATGCTGTGAGGACCAATGGAAACCTTGGAGAGGCAGGTTTCAGTTCCATATGATGAAGGCCTTTCTGACAAAACTGTCTGAAAAGCGGAATGGGGACAGTGTAAAGATAGCCCTCACTCCCTGGAGTCAGGCAGTTGACAGTGGCCACCCCCAGAGGCTGGGCAGTGTTGGTGAGTGGTGAGGGCCCAGCTCTGGGGCCAGACTGCCTGGGTTCAAATCCCAACCCTAATACTCACTAATTGTATGTTCTTGGATAAGCTATTTCACCTCTTTACAATTCTCCATTTCTGCATCCAAAAAATGCAGATAAGATCACATCAGGTTTTATTGGCAATTGTTGAGTTACTATTTCTTTTTAAGTGAGTACAACCTGCACAGAATGGTCAGCATCCCAAGGGGTGCCAACCTGCAGGCGATGGCTGGCTGCTGGCTCCATTCTTGGCATCTCTCTCTCCCCGTCGGGCTGGCACTCTGGTCTTCACACCACCGGAGAGCCAGGTGGAGGATTCTGATTCCCAAGGCTGGCCCTCAGGGCTCTAACCTGCCCTAACGTGGTCACACCTAACATGGGAGCCTGTGAATCACCTACCCACCCGACCGCCCACAACCCCCCATTTACAACCCTTTCGACTCCCACCTGACTTGGAGAACTGGAGAAGTGCACACATATTTGAAAGAAAGTCAAGGCTGTTGCCCTTAGCAAAGGCATGAGGCTTGATGACTGGATGTTATTAAGCATTCATTCAGGTCCAATGATAAATAAATTTCTAGAAGAGGAAATGTGCAAGATGGACTGACGGGCCAGCTCCAGCTTAGCCTTGCTCCACAGCACAGCCTGACAACGCTGAGATCTGCATCGTTACCCAATGTGCAAAAGAACTGAAGACAAAAGTATTTTTTTTCTCAGCCTCTCCACAAAGCCAGTTTGTAAGGACCAGTTATTAAAGTGAAGTATCCATTTAAGGTCTGGCACAAATATAAAAAGATAAGCAGCTTAGATGAGTATAGAGGCTGGAGTGCTTTTTGCCCCCTAACAAAAACCACTCCACTGTTCTCCAAGCTTGGAGCGAAAAATACATTACACTTTCTGCAACGTGGCAGGAAAATTTAAGTCTGAGGTGCATTTTTCACAGCCGGTTACACATGGCATGAGTCCAGATGACACAAATGGGTTGGGGCTCAAGTGGTTCTTGCAGAGGAGCCTGACGCTGGCTTTGTCTGCAGGAACACATCCCCCCCCCGCAACTGTTCAGGCGGGAAAGATCAGTTGGCAGGCTAAGGGACCACCACAAAAAGCTGACAATATTTAAAACACCCAGTAGGATCTGCAGCCGTGCTTGAAATGAAATGGTTTTTATTTTTCAGAAACAACCAAGATGACCTCCAGGTTTCCAATAGGACTGTAACAATCTACCCTGCAGCTTAACTTCATGAAGGAGAATGAAATCAAATCTGTCATCTTACCGTCAGGCTCTAGCCTGCATAAGCTGGCCTCAGGGAGGGGGTGGGGCACCGGTGCGGAGCAGACGATGTGGAGAATGTGACACAGACACAGAGAAGGGGGTCGCAGTAATGGAGACTCGGCGAATCAGGGCTGACAGATTGCCCACAGCAGCCCAAGTCCCCACAGCTCTGAGCCGTCATTTTAAAAGGATTCAGGCCACTGCATTGTTCTCCGGGAGGGAGAAACCAGCATGTGCCCCGCGGCTCTCTAGGACTAAATCATGCAGCAATTTCATAAATGAGTTTCTGCTAGATGATTTTCCCTGCTACCTTATCTCCAAACGCACCTAAAGTTCACTCTGGTTTCCCCAATGACTAGAATGGCTTTGTGCTCACTTTTAATTGTACCTTGTGCTGTTCTATGAAATAATAATTCAAACAAAATAAGAAAATGACATTGCAGAACCTTAGGAGGGCCTGAGGACTGTCTCGATTCCCCTCTTCATCATACAAAAATCATTTATTGTATCTACAATTAAAAAGCCAGCTGAGGCAGCACAGGTTCTATGACCCCCGTGTTACAGATGAGGACACTGCAGCTCAGATTGAATGAGGGCTGGGCCCAAGCCCACAAGGCAGGCATCCTGTTACAGAGGGCCCAAGGTGGGTATCCCAGACGGCCCCCCCCTTTTTTGGTGAGCAAGATTTGCTCTAATATCTGTTGCCAATCTTCCTCTTTTTTTGCTTGAGGAAGATCAGCCCTGAGCTAACATCAGTGCCAAGCTTCCTCTATTTTGTATGTGGGTTGCCACCACAGCATGGTTTGACAAGTGGTATATGTCTGCATCCGGGATCTGAGCCTGCAAACAAAGGGCCGCCGACATGGAGTGTGCTGGACTTAACCACTATGCCACGGGGCTGGCCCCCTGGAGCTCCTTTTTTATTACAGCCCCATGTTGGGGCTGAAACTCACATATCACTGAATTTATAATCTTGTAAGATCACAAACAATGTATATGTTATCTATTAAAAAAAAAAATTTCCCCAAAAGAGAAAGTTTTTCCAGTTCCATTTTTAAATTAATTTATTCCATTGCCCTCCTTTAGGAAGATTCACATTAGAAAGACAGGTGAATTATCTGCCACCTAATCCACATCATTAAAGGGAAATAGCTGTTTGCAGAGTATTGAAAATATTAAGACCAGGAACTCCTCACGTGTCTTTCACGCCACCCCTGCCTGCTGCAACCATGGATGACACCTCATTCAGAGCAGACTCCCCAGGAAGAATCCTCTCTGACTGTGCACTCTTCTAACTCAAGAGAGGATGAAGCAGGGAGTTGGGCCTCTGAAAAATGCCTTGTCTGGTATTAAGGACCTTTTCCTCATCTGTTTTAGAGAAATGCTGCAACCTTGCCATGTGCCACTGGGTAAAGAAGTATCTTCAAATGACCTCACAGCAAGAGGTTTACTCTGGTCTCAAGACGTCAGTCCTGCTCCGCCCACCCAGCCATTCACGCCTCAGTGACAGAAAGAACTCAAACAACATCAAGTCCTGAAGCAGAGCCTGGGGTTTAATACCACTAGTTCTCCACCTGTGAACTTGAAGACTACAAAATGATGAGACAGGCAAGGAAATCCTTAACACACACAGCACTTCCAGAGGTCTGGCAGGGAAGTGATTTCGTGTAATCCACTCTGGAGCAAAGGGAGGCTGCTGTAATACCACAGACCCAATGGGTAAAAGGATGGTCACAGGACGTGTCAATGTCCAAGTGAGATAATACAGAGCATTTGAAACACAGAGATGTACACTATAAATTTAGGTTATTACACATATAAAATTTAAAATGGTATTCTTAATTCTTTGTCCAGTCACAGTGGGCCTAGGATGGCATTCACGCATTGAATCTCAGGCTCGACAGCCAGTCATCGAGGTGAAGCCCAGACCCTTCGCTGTGGAAGGGCTCTACCCACATGAGCAGACTTCTCACCTTCCCCCTGGTGAGTCCAGGAGTCAACAGAGCAAAAACTAACAGAGAAAAAAGAGAGAATCAGTCCCTGAACCCAGCAGCACCAGCTGTACAACGGAAGTCAGCCCTGGTACCACTTTCAAGAAACAATGAAAATAGAGTTGAAATGTTCTAATTTCAAAATGTTGCCGTTCTCTTTTCCTAAGGCACTGTTAAGGGGCCCCACGGAAAAGCTGGTAACACTGGAGAATGTGCTTGGAAATGATGTATGGACTGTGGGACTGGTAAATATGGGCAGGCATCACTCCAAAGCAGCCAGCTGCTCAATGGCACAGCGGACTTTCTTTGCAGTTTCTTCAAATTCTTTCTGCTTATTGTTGGTTTCCTTTGCCTGGAAATAAAGAATAGACACATGAAATTGAAGCTCTGGCCATGCTGGAGCAGAAATACCCAGCTATATGGGGTAAATATCCTGATTCAACTCAACTGCCTCTCATTTAAGCTACCTCCTAATAATTATAATAATAGAAAACATTTATGGAACGCTTTGCATGTACCAAGCACCATTCTACCTGCTTCATACACATTAACTCATTTATTGCTCAGGGTCCCCGTGGGGTAGGTGCTATCATTATCCCCATTATACATATGAGGAAACTGAGGTCCAGAGTAGTACCCTGCTCAGGGTTAGCCAGCTAGTCTATGGCAGAGACTTGCTCTTCACCGCCACCCTACATTGCTTCTGAAGCTCCTAAAGAAAAAGTCCAGAGCCCTCCTCCTCTTGTCCCCTTAAAGAGAGCCTATCAAGCATCAGTTTTTTCCCAAAACAGAAAAAATTCTTTCACTTCAAACCTTTTCATTCTGCTAAGCACTCTCTCCAAGAGGGACAAATGACAATCACGTTAGCAAATCCAGGGGCCTCCTTCCCTACTCTAATTTTTATTCTCCTTGATTTCTCTGCCACATGAAAAAATAAACATAAGACGTTTATTGGGTTAAATTTGTTTTCTAATAAGAAAAATGATAGAGGTTAACTTTTAAAAATTACTTTTCAATATGTACTTCTTTGTGTATCTTAAATTTTGCCTCATGTGTAAGGCTTATTTTTAAAATATTAAGAGAAAAATTAATTTTAAAAATAATAAATTGACAAGAAAAAGAGCAACAGCACCTAACAAATAATGGTGCATCTTGTAAAGGACAACTCCACAGCCCGAGTCTCGTCTTTATTGATATGAAAAGATGACCACGGCCTTTGAAAATATACTTTTTATTTACTTTTTTCTTCTCTTTCAAAAAGCCTAAAATTAATTAAGCCCGTATGTACACAGACCATAATTTAACCACCACAACATGGAGGTCAACATCTCCATTTTATACATTTTCTAATAAAGGGAGTTGAATCAAAAACAAGACACTCACTATTGAAAAATGTAAAAAAACTCACTGAGCAGAACTTCTGCCGTCCAGGGCCTATGACTCAGCTCTCCTTCTGGGGCTTCATTTTATCCTCATCACAGGTGTTCACAAATTCAAGTTTTACACAGAAGATTCTCTGCTTGTTCCCATATTGAGTTTATTCCCCGAACTGATTTATTTTCAATTGGCTCGAATTTATTTCATTCTTTTCAAGAGATGGAGGCAGTGATGCAGCAGCAAGAACCGAGTCACCAAGCACACGGTGCACTCGTGCCCTGGTCAGACCCCACACCCTCGCTCTCTGCCACTACAGCACCCCTTCCCAGCACCAGCACCCAGGGGGCGGCTTGACCGGTGATCCTGTCAAACTGACCAGCAGCAGCAGCTCACACTGAAATCTGGAGTCTCAGAAATTCACAGCATCACGACAAACACCGCCATTCATTCCTTGTCTTCACTATTTGGATACCACAACACAGAAGTACTTTATCTGGTGTTTTAAAGAACGTCTGATAAACGATTGTCTTACACTATGTAGTACAATCACATAGCAGACTTAATAAATGGAATAAATGGTTTAAAATATCAGCTCCCAACCACATTTACCCCTGCAAAACAGACAAGGTTCGCATCCCAGCCCCCTCCAGGAGTGAGGTACGCTGAGTGCTCACCCGATGCTCCAGCATGAAGCAGACAGGCCTCTGGTTATGCCCCTTCCTGCACTCTGTGCTGACCCCAGACCTTCCCATCCATTCACATGGGAAAGCACATGGGGACACAAGGGGACCTGAGTTTTTATATTAGTGATAAATTATTTGCAACAAACCTTACAAATTGGTTGGCACTCTAGAGCAGCCATGTCCAACAGAACTTTCTGCAATGACAAAAATGTTCTGTTATCTGCACCGTCCAATACAGCAGCCACTGGCCACGAGTAGCCATCGAGCAGGTAAAATGCTGCTAGTACAACTGAAAAACTGAATTCTACATTTTATTTAACTTTAATAGCCACATGTGGCTAATGGCTGCAGTAGTGGACAGCCGGCTCTAGACCATCACAACAGTACAGCTGAGTGCCATGGCTTACGAAAAACCTTTCTATTGCTTAAGTGTTATAAACCAATTAAGTATGAATAGCTTCAACTTTCTATTCTTCTTTAAAATACATAAATTTTAAAATGACCTGGAAGAAAACACACAAAACAGTTAACTGTGATTACCCCTAGCATAGGGGTGGAGCTTATATTGTCTGTTTTGTTATTAAAGTAATAAAAACAAATGCCTAATTTTAAAATATTCTGTATCCTGACTTGGGGAGAACAAAAAACAGTTGCCAAATGAAAGCAAAACATTTTCTTCCAGTCTCCCCACTTTTCTCACCGGGGTGTTTACCCCTGGCTCTGGTCTGGTTCTGGCCCCACTGCTGTGCACCCAGCTGACGGAGACCGACCCCTCCAGGTGGGTTTCCTGCTCCAAGTCGTCCTCCTAAGTCACCTCTCCCAACACCAGACCACAGGGCCCACAAGCGCTCGATCAGTTTTGGACCTGGACTGTCACAACTCTCACGTCTTCCCATTTGCTGCCACCCCCTAAACCCCCTGTCTGTCTCAGCACCCATCCTCCGGCTTCAGCCTCCGAGCTACACCCTCATCTTCCCCCTGGGTGCTCAGGCACAGCTTTCTCACAACTCTTCCTAAGTATTCAGGCTGGTCTTTCACCTGGAACGAGGTCGGCAAACTGCAGCCTGCAGGACACAGCCAGCCAGCCCATGGCCTGTTTTTCATACAGCCACTGGGCTAAGAACGGTTTTTACATTTTTAAACAGTGGTGGAAAAAAAAAAAAACACACAAAAGCAACAAAGAATAACATCTGACAGAAATATGTGGCCCATTAAGGCTAAAATACTGTCTGTGGCACTTTACAGCAAGTGTGCTGACCCGTGACCTAGAAGGCTCTCTTCCTAACTCTGACACTGAGGTTCCCAAGACCTCCATCGAGTAAACTTGCTGTATTGACCACCAATTTCTTCCCCTTCCTGACAAAAAACAACTTTGTCCTTAGCATTTAAAAGCTACCATATTGGACAGAATTATTTAATATTGATCTCTAAAAAGGAACACAATTTTCAACCCAAAAAGGCCTCAGAAACCATGGGGGTCTAGCCTCCATTCTGCAGCAAGAAAAGTGTGACCAGGACTGGCCTAAACTCACCAAGTCTGTGGGTGGCAGAGACAGAATCAGGACGCTCAACTCCCTGCCCAGTGCTTTGCTTACGAGGATATCAAACGCCTGAGTATTTATTCTCTGTAGGGCTGCCAGATTCAGCAAATAAAGATAGAGGATGCTCAGTTAAATTTGAACTTCACATAAACTAACAATTTTTCAGTAAACACCCATACAACATGTGAGATATACTAAAAAATTATTCCTTGTGTACCTGAAATTCAGATTTAACTGGAAGTCCTGGTTTGCTCTGGCAACGCTAATTCTCTACAGCCCAGGCTGCCTGGGGGCCATCTCTTTGTGGACTCACGGCCTCACTCTTCTACTCTCCCAGTAAGCCAGTATGCCTGCCCAAGAGTCCAAGTTCACCTGCAGAAATCCCATCACAGTCTAGTTGGACCGGAGCCTCCTTTTCCCAATACATGCAACACCTCTTCCACAACACGTGTCCCCAAACCCTCTCTTCCAGTCACTGCCAACACACGAACACACACCATATAAATGCCCTCCCATCTCGGCTGTCACTGAGGGCAGGAACGCCAGCCTAATCACCCTGTGTCCCACCACTAGAATGACCTCACACCTTTACCACGGGGATGTGTTTTCCTGAGCACACAACCCCAAGACCACACTCCAGGACAGATGCTTTTCTGTTCTTCTATATCCTCACATACACATCTGAGGGGCTTAAAACATGCTTACTGAGGAAAACAGAGTCCACCTGGTGTTTGTGAAGGGCGGAGGGATTAGCAGTCAAGATGCTGGACAGGATTTGCTTTTGGTTCTTATTCCCAATAATACATACAATTTTGTTCTTGGCTCTTTCTTTGTCCAGTTTCAAAAATTCACTGAGGGTTAATTCTTCAAACTGCTTCTTGACAGAAAGGAAAGCACAGCCAGACGAATGCTTTTTATGTTCCTCTCTAGAAAAACCAACACAGGCGCATGTCAACGGTGAAAGTCAGTAAAGGGAGAGGAGCAGAGCTTGTTAGCAACCGTCCCTCCCATCACCACCACAGGCTCACGGACACGCCGTGCTCTGCTTTAAGAGCAAAGTGTGAAGTCTGGAGTAGACAGAACAGTGCTGTGTCCCAAGCCACACTCCCACACAGCTCGTTTTAGCACCTTCTCTCTCTGTGGACGTCGCCCCCCATCTCCTTGTGGCTGATGGATTTTATCTGGAGTCCTTTGGCAATTAGTAGGAGAGTGTTATACGGGGGAAGTCCAGAGGTATCACACGTCGAATCCCTCTAAAATCTTCCAGGAACTGTTTGAAGTACTCTCACTTCACTAGAATTGTTACATAACCTGCTGGTTCAGAATAAGGGCACCACTGGCCAGGTTCTCCTGCACGCTCCTCTGCCTCATACCATCATTCTCTGCACTGGGAATCATCCTTGCACAGCAGACAGCACTGTAACCAGAACAGTACTGGAATGAACACAGCCACACAAAGTCCAAAAGGACAGCCAAGAGTAACTATCATCTGAAAATGTTGTAGCACTTAGAAACCCACTCCCTAGGGCCGGCCCCGTGGCTTAGCGGTTAAGTGTGCGCACTCTGCTGCTGGCGGCCCGGGTTCGGATCCCGGGTACGCACCGACGCACCGCTTCTCGGGCCATGCTGAGGCTGCGTCCCACATACAGCAACTAGAAGGATGTGCAGCTATGACATACAACTATCTACTGGGGCTTTGGGGGAAAAAAAAAAAAAAAAAAATTAAAAAAAAAAAAAAAAAAAAGAAACCCACTCCCAAGAACACAACCGGCATTTTCCCAAGGATCCCCGTCAATATGTCAACATCGGATCATAAAGCAAACACAGGAGGGAAAATAGCAACACTCCGGCCAAGAAGAGAAACAACTCAGCAGATTCTCTAGGGAAAAAATTAAGGTTGTGGAAGCAACTGATTCCGACAGGCGGAAAAAAGGTGAGAACAGAATGTGGCATTACATTACAGAAAGACAGTTACCATATCTATATGACTATATATGACAGAATTAAAAAAAAAATAACTAGGTGCCTTAAAGAACAAAACCCAAAACAACACTGAAGTGTACCACTTTAAAAGGATGGTTTTTGTGGCGTGTGAATTATAGCTCAAAAAAGCTTTAGATTTAAAAACTCTAAAAGAAGAAAAGCTCCTGGACATCCAGAGGTCACAAGAGGACCTGCTCCTGAATTCTGTTGAACCTGCAATGCATCAGGTACCTACAAGAATGAGCCTTTCTTCAACATCCACCCTGAAGGACATTTGGCCAAACCAGGTTTGATTAGATTGAAAGCACCACCAAGGCACCAGCACACAGAGACTCATCCGTGCAACAGCTGGCTAGAGCACAAAGGGAGGTTGGAAAGCCGTGGCTCCTTCACTATTGGTCTTCGAAGTTCAGATAGTTTTCCAGAGCCCAGCTCAAAACAGAAACTTCCCCGGGAGCCGGGGCACCCCGGAAGCCCAGAAAGGCTGGGCTGGGGGACTTACATGGGGTCGTCATCTGGCTCCCAGCCTTCCAGTTCCTTGAAGCAGAAGAAACACTGGGCCAAGTCGGGCTCGTTCTCAGTGGGACAGTGGATGAAGCCGGCCGCGGCCATCTGCAAGAGCGCGCATTAGGCCCTGGCGGGGCGTGTCCCGAGCCTCCAGGTTCTGGCCGGCCACGGAGGGGCCGGAGCCCCGCGGAAGGGGTCGCCCTGGGCCCGGCCGGCCACAGAGGGGCCGGAGCTCCGCGGGAAGGGTCACCGTGGGTCCCCGGAGCCCCGCAGCAGGGGTCGCCCTGGGCCCGGCAGGCCACACAGGGGCTGGAGCCCCGCGGGAAGGGTCACCGTGGGTCCCGGGAGCCCAGGGAAGGGCCGGGACTCCGCGGGAAGGGTCACTCTGGGTCCACGGAGCCCCTCGGGAGGGGTCGTCCCGGAGTCGGGGCTCTGGGTGGGGTGGGGCTGGGGGCCCCGGGAGGCCGCGTGATCTCACCCGCTCCGGGGTGCAGGCGCAGCCCTCCAAGAAGGGCCAGTTCTTGAACGTAGAGACGCGGTGGTCCTTGAGGTAGAGCTGCCAGGCCGGGGGCAACGACGGGGAGCCCATCCCGCAGCCACAGAGCGGTGCCGCGATTCAAACCCAGCGGTTGGCGGCCGCCGCGCGGCATGTCGGGAACGCCCCGCCCCTGAGCGCGCCGCCCGCAGCCTTCTGGGAATGAGAGGCTGGGCAGCGCGGAACCTGCTGGGAGTTGTAGTCCTGCCGCTGGGTAGTTCTGCTTCTTCTCGCAGTGCGCCGAATCACGATAGCCCGGCCCTCGCCCATTTCCACACTAGCGCTTCCCGGACTGCTTGCAAAGAGTTGTGGAAAGAGCTGAGGATAGGCTGAAGTCCCCATAATGGGTTCAAAGAGTGGCCCCTGTCAAGCACAGATGTATTAAGCCCTTTCAGCTTGCAAACTCTCGTTATTGTTTTTGTTGGCGCCCCACCCACTCCTGGAAACCCCTTAGTGCCAACTTCCTCTGCCCTTGTGCCGGCCAGGTTAGAATGTGTGCTGATGCATATCCATCAAGAGGTGCCGCATCCGCCAGAGGGAAGATGTCATATAGATGACATCTACAGCTAAATAATCTACAGCTAAACCCACACCCTCGCTCGTCTCTTCTTTTATCAAGTCTTTTCGCTGAAGCTTCTTGGAAGTCCAGAAATTGACCCTTGGACCTTTGTTCTTCCCTTTCCACCAGAATTCCTCTGGAAATAGATATCCCTCAAGTCAATAGCTAGAGCTTAACGTTGCCACAATAGGAGCATAGCTTCCAGATATAACAAACTGCTGCTTATACAACCGTGCCCCTCTGGACGGGCCTTTAGGTCTCCGATCGTGTGCCGTTACGAATAATACTGCAATAAATACTTCATATAAATATCCTTGTGTCCTGGTAATTCTGCTTCCGTGGGCCAGACTTCTAAAAGTGGATTTCTAGGTCAAACGTGCATTTAAAATGTTAGTACCTAGTGCCAGATTACTTTCCAAAAAGCCACAGCAGAGCTCATTCCCGACGGCCGTGCCTGTTTCCTTGCCCCCACCAGATATTTAAATTTTTGCCAAGTGTACTTTGACACACTTATCTACTGAGTTGTTCCTTTCTTTTCTTATCAATTTTTAGGAGTTCTTTATATATATATATCCTTTATCTGTTTTGTGTGTTGCAACTTGCAATTTTACAGATGAGAATACGCAGGTCTGTGCAGCATTAAGTGATGTCCATAGAGGTTACATGGGCATCGGAGCAGACCTAAAACCCGGCTTGTCGGGGCCAGCCCCCTGGCTTAGTGGTTAAGTGTGTGCGCTCTGCTGCTGGCTGCCCAGGTTCAGATCCCGGGCGTGCACAGAGGCACTGCTTGTCAGGCCATGCTGTGGCGGCGTCCCGTATAAAGTGGAGGAAGATGGGCATGGATGTTAGCCCAGGGCCAGTCTTCCTCAGCAAAAAGAGGAGGATTGGCATGGATGTTAGCTGAGGGCTGAGCTTCCTCACAAAAAAAATAAATAAAACCTGGCTTGTCTACCTCCCACCCCAGGCCTCCAACACTCCAGCTAGCTCATGTGAGGACAAAATTCTGTATTTACTGAGGCCTAACTACATATTCGTTCATTCATTGAGTGAGTTCTAATTGTTGACCCACTATGCCGCAGATACTGTTCCAAGTTCAGACGGCCTGGCGGAAAATAAGTCAGGTGAGGTCCACCATGTGACACCACAGGCACCACAATAGCATGTCATGTGCAGACATCACTTCACAGCTTACATAGAAAACAGAGTCCTAAGTCTGTGCACATGGACCATGGATATTGGCAATAATCTGGTGGACGTATTCCTTCCACTTCTTCCACTAGGGCAAGTTACCTGGCCTCTCTGAGCCCCAATTTCCTCAGATGTAAACTGGAACTTGAATCACTCAGAACTATGGAACAACCCCTTTTCTCCACCTTTTCCATCAGCAGGAATATTGCTGTACCAAAGACAGCACATTAAGTCCCCTGGGAGGGGGACAGCCTTAAAAAAGGCCTGGCTGTGACTATTGGATGAGAACTCACACGGAACCGAGACCAACACACTGAAGTGCCTCCTAAATCCTGGGGAGAGGGGCTGCCTTCATTGCCCAACTGGTGAAGTCCACCAGAAACGGAGGAGGGAGTGGGGGTCAACAGAGGTGACGACTGTGGAAACACTGCCCACTGCCATCTCTCCAGTAGACCTGGGTGTCGTCTTAGGGAGGTGGGATTGGAATGTGACTCCAAGTGGACAGCACAGGGTAATCGGCCCAGATAATAGAAAAGGGAAGTCCAGGGGAGCAGGCACCTGCTTGTAGACTCGGCCAGGCTGGGCCCTGAGCAGGGCTATGTGGCTGGAGGATTAGCCTGATGCAGATGTCCCAGCCCTCCAGGGACCCTTCCAACTCTCCAAATCTCATCCTCTAGGGATGTTTATGGAGGTTTCATAGGCTTGATTGGTTAAATCATTAGCCACTGGTGATTAATTCAATACTCTCCAGCCCCTCTCCCCTTCCCGGAGGTTAGGAGGTGTGGCTGAAAGCTCCAAGCTTCTAATCAAGGCTTGGTCCTAAAGCTATCTGGGCCCACCAAGAACTGACTCATTAGAACAAAAGATGCTCCTATCGCTCTGGAGAGCCCAAAAGTTTTAGGAGCTCTGTGCCAGGAATTGGGGACAAAGACCAAAATATATATTTATCACAAAGGCAAATTTGCATGTTTATGTGAACTCTCTGGATTTTCAAATAGTTCGCAACAAATTCTGATCAATACTGTGATGATCAAACAAAATTGTTTTGAGATCATAAAACATCAATGCTAGATATTACTTTACAGGCCATCTAGTCTGACCAAACCTTTTGTGAACACGTTTCTCCTTTATTATGATAGTAACACATCAACATTGTAAAAGCAAACACAGTGCAATGAAAAGGAAGTCTTCTCCCCTCCCGGAGACTTTACTCCCCAGAAGGAAACTTATTAGCAGTTTCTATATATCCTTCCAGATGTGGCACCCTGCCTTATCAGCTAACAGCACATCTCGGCTTTATCAGCACACAGAGACCCACCCCCTTTTGTAATATCTGCATGGTACTTATTGGATGGTCTACCCTGATTCTCATTAACCAGTTTCCCATTGGGTGTCTCCAGGTTTTTTTGCTGTTATGAATTGTACTGCAGCATGAGGCACACACATGTGTGCAGCTATACCTATAGGATAAACATCTACAAGCAGGATTGCTGGGATAGTGTATGTGCCCCTTTGCAAAATTTTTGTATATAGCCAATCACCCTCTCAATCAGCAGAGTGTAACACAGTTTGCTCTGCCATCTTGTCCCATCCCAGTAGATGTTGACCCTGCCTCTTTCATCCTAGGAAATTTTAATCAGAGTTCTACCAATATCGATGACATTCATTTGTGGATGCAATGTAACCTACAACCATTCTATAGATAAGACAGATAAGGTAACCTTTACTTGAGCCAAGCTGCGGATTATAACCCAGGAAGGCAGTCTCCACGAAGGAAGAAAGCTTTCCGGAGAAGCATGGTTTTCAGTACAGTTTTATATCTTTTTAGAACAAAGAACATACATCAAACATGCCCAGGATACACATTCATCAAAGTTTCAAAGAGCTGTTCAGTTGCAGATTAGCAGGTCAACATGACCCTGGTGTTGGGGAAAGGGAACATCTTCAAGAGTTACTGATACTGGCGTTTTAGGAGGGGAAGTATGAATTCTTATCTTATAGACTGCACTCTTTTACTTTGAGATAATGTTTAATGCGTTCTTTACTTTAATGGTTAAAGCAGATGTACAATATATGTTTGATAGGCTGTAAGTCAGGCTTCTTTAGTTCAAGAAGAATTAGTTTTAAACCAGAATAGCTATCCCATATACCTCAATATGTGAAAATTTATTGTCACATTGAAAAAATATATCTTCTAGAACAAACTCCATTAAGCCAATGTATTTCTATGATTAATTTTCTATTTGGCATAAACAAGTTCTGCCTTTTTTCCATTAAAATTTATATTTTAGTGACAACTTCAGCTGCTTAGGTCTTTTCTATAAGATTTAAAACAATTATTATTACTTGCATTTTTATCATATACAAGAGTAACATACATAACATGGATAAGATATATATTATAAAATTAGTATACATTATAACATTGCATATGCAGAGAAATCTCAACATTTTGGGCTTTGGTTACTTTCAGTTTCTATGGTAATTGAAAGAGGTATAATTATGCTGAAGTATTTGGAATGTCTACGTTATTTTCCTAGACCATTATTTTTCTTATATATATACAATTATATATGGTAAAATATACATTACATAAAATTTACCATTTTAACCATTTTTAAGTATACAGCTCAGTGACATTAAGCACATTTGAGTTGTTGTGCAACTGATACCAGCTCACCACAAGGCTGACATAAGGGAAGCCACATTGTAGAAAAGAAACCATATTATAACTTTGAATAACCTGATTAACCAACCCAGCTGGATATGCACCCTCCAGGAGATATACATGCTCTGTAGATTTTATGGCCTCTCTCAGCTGGGATAAGATGCTAACTTTGTTCTTTTGAGTTCCTTAGGAATGTGATGATCCCCAGGCAGAGTGTCTATGCTGATAACCATCATCAATGACACCTGAAAGATATGAGTATAGGGCATTGCTTCGATCTCTGATGTACATCCAGTAAAGCAAAAGATTATCAGGAACTAAGACCAGATGGATGCCCCCAACCACAGAGCAGACGGATGCCCCCACCCAGAGACCAGATGCCTCCCCCACCCGGAGACCAGCCCCCTGTATAACTGGCCTGTAGTCTTTGTTCTGTAAGCTGGTTCTCTCGGACACTGGTCAGCCATCTTCCCCCTTGCTAGCAAGCTGTAATAAAACCCTTTCTCTCCTACCTCCTTGCCTCTTGACTATTAGCATGTGTTGCGGTGGACAGACGACCCACCTTGGGCGGTAACACAACCATCACCACCCATCCATCTCCAGAACTTTGTCATCTTCCCCAACTGAAAGTCTACCCATTAAATACTAACTCCTCATTCTCCATAAGATTTTGTAACAGATATTTAATTCCTAGATCA